TTGGTTTGAGACTCATTAGCCTGAAAGGGTTTGGTGAAAGCCAGAGAATGGTAGAGACCTTCCTAAGGGAATGCAGAGGAAGGAAGAGCCAAGGGGCGGGGACTGGACTTCTGGGGAGGAGGACAAGGGGTTGTCAGAAACAACCAGGGCAGTCAGCAGGAGATGGCCCAGAAGCTAACCCTGAGCGATGGGAGAGTTTCATGGAGAATGTGTTCAGGATGTGAGACTCTGTGGAGGGGCCCGGTGACGGGATACTGGGATGAAGTCATCATCTGGGCACTGAGGTCAGCAGAGACCTTGGGAGCAGTTTTAGAGTTCTGGTGGCCGGAAGGTAACAAAATGTGAAGGACACTGAAAATGAGAACAGTGGGAACGAGAGACAGGCCAAGGAAATGCAACGCAGCGGCCTGCAGGGGGACCCTGACTTTCCCCTCACTCTCATGCCAGGTCCCCACCTCTCGGGAGTGCGTGGGCTTTGGAGCTGTGCAGGAGGTAGCCGTGGGACTGGTGCAGCCGGCCAGCGCGGCCCTGTACGACTACTACAATCCCGGTGAGCACTTAGGGACACTAAGGAGGTTTGTGATAGGTGCCCGCATGTGGGACATTGGGAACTGGGGCAGTAGAAAGTGGCAAGGGAGTCCTGTGGCTCAACAGGACTGGGAGGCAAAGAGAGAGACATACTCTAACTCCCCTCTCTGGTTTTCTCCAGAGCACAAGTGTTCTGTGTTTTATGGGGCACCGACTAAGAGCAAACTCTTGTCCACCTTGTGCTCTGCTGATGTCTGCCAGTGTGCTGAGGGTGAGACCCAGGGCCTGGGGGCGGTGCTGGGAGGGAACTTTGTTGGGGCCTACCTTGTCTCACCTGGGCTCTTGACTTCAGGGAAGTGCCCTCGACAGCGTCGTGCCCTGGAGCGGGGGCTGCTGGAGGAGGATGGTTACAGGATGAAGTTTGCCTGCTACTATCCCCGTGTGGAATACGGTCAGTCTTCCCGCTAGGCCCTGACCCACCCTCAGGGTCTCTTTGGTCATGCCTGCTCCTCACACAGGCCCACAGGCAGCCTCTTTGCTCTGACACCACCTTGCAGCCCTCAGCCTCAGGGTAACTCACCTTCCCTTCTTTCTCCTAAACTCACTCATAGGCTTCCAGGTTAAGGTTCTCCGAGAAGATGCCAGAGCTGCTTTTCGCCTCTTTGAGACCAGTATCACCCAAGTCCTGCACTTCTGTACGAAGGGAACGGGTGGCTGGGTGGGCAGGGCTGGGGGGATAGAGGGGAGCTGAGGTCTGAGTTTGGGGCCTGTCTGCCTAGAATAGTAAAAATTCTAAGAAGAACTTAGATCCCCTTGGCCTCTTAGAAGCCCTGGGCTTGTCTAGTAGGAAAGCGGTCGCATCTCCCTGTTGGGAGTGGCAGGATTACATGAGAGGGTGTCTGCAAAGCCCCTGACCCCATGCTCACCCTGCACCTTTTCTTTCCCTCTGACAACTCTTGTGCACGTTCTCCCCTCAGCCAAGGATGCTCAGGCCACTGCTGGTCAGACCCGAAATTTCCTTGTTCGAGCCTCTTGCCGCCTTCGCTTGGAACCTGGGAAAGAATACTTGATCATGGGTCTGGACGGGGCCACCCATGACCTCAAGGGACAGTGAGTTCTCTGGGCCCCTGGGTTTCTTGCTCTTCTCACACCTCATGAGGGAATGGATCCCCAGGGCCTAGGCCCTCCCCTCTCAGAAGGCAGATGCCTCGTGTTCTCCTTTCCACTCTGCCCAGCCTCCTGACCCCTGCTGACTGCTCTTTGCCCCTGCAGCCCCCAGTACCTGCTGGACTCAAACAGCTGGATCGAGGAGATGCCCTCTGAACGCCTGTGCCGGAGCACCCGCCAGCGGGCAGCCTGTGCCCAGCTCCATGACTTCATCCAAGAGTATAGCACTCAGGGGTGCCAGGTGTAAGGGCCGTTTTCCCACCTCCCCCAGGAGGAGCCTGAGCCTGGGAAAGGTGATAATGCTTGGATCGTTGCTGTGCCTGGTCCTCTGAAAGTAGCCACAGAGCAAGGCCAGGGATTCAATAAAAGCCTTTGGCAGTAAAGTGTCAGTGTGTGTCTCTAGGATTGAGAGTAATGTGCCTATCGTGCATTACAGGTTCTGGGGGGGGGGTCCAGGCCAGAGTTCGCAAAATCTTAGGCTCTCAGAGCCTGGATGACCCTTGGGGTGTTCAGCTCTGCCTCACCCTTCCCAGATGACTCACTGGGAACCCCAAGCCAGCATAGGACCACCCAGAGTAGACTTGTGACCCAACAGTCTGCACCCTGAGGATCCAGCATCAACACCAAGGCCTCCCGTTGTGCCTGCAGGGCACTGCACTGCCCCGATATAGCCCGTCACTGTGGCCTCAGGCAGGGCTGTGTTCGGCTCACATCTCAGCTATTCTGCCTTATGAGCGACTGTCCAGCCACATGCCTCCCACTCTGTCCTGGTACAGTTCTGGAGTCTGTTGCTTTTAGCTGAGACCCAATCTGTTGAAAGCCTGTTGACTTTGGATCTTGTGATCAGTGGTATTAGGTAATAGCCCTAGAGTTGCATAATCCTCAGATCTGATGATCTTCTTCCAGGCACTGATTTTAAACAAGCCGAAGGCTGCCTTTGGTATATTCGTTAATACTCTAAAGAGACTGTGATCTACTAGGGTCAACCTTCCCCACCTGCCTGTCTAGCTCCCCACCATTTAGTGGCACCCCTTGGGTCTTCAGGGCTGACCTAAAAATCCATCTAGAGAAGTTTGCTGAGATAGTCCGGAAGCCTGCCATTCACTCATCCAACAGAAATTTGTGGAACTTTCACTCCGAGCCCTATATGCCAGGTCCCTATCCTCTGTGAAAGGAGTGGTGCTGGGGAGCTGTGTGGTCTTGTGGGGTTCATAGTTGGGACATCTGACCCAATCTGGGGGATTGTGAGAAGCGGAGAGAGAGGGCTTCCTGGAGGAGGTGGCATCTAAGTTGGGTTCTGAAGGCTGAGGAATCCAGCAAAGAGAGTAGGAGTAGATGTGGGCGTTCGAGGCAGAAGAGAACGTGAAAGGCCCAAGGCCGGGGCAGGATAGGGCACACTGGTAGCACTGCACGCGGCAGGATAGAGCACACTTGGGAGCACTGCACGCGGCTTATCACATCTGGAATTCGGATTTGTTGGAGGGGAGCAGTAGAAGAGATGGAGCTGTAGTCAATTTATGGAGGGATGTTCACAAGCATTCCAGCTTCCCGGGTCACTCTCCTATTGAAGGAGTCCCCTCCTATTCCATGCAACTTTGAGGAGTACTGACCTTCCCCAGTGTTTCAGAGACTTCCTAGGGCTGTGGTTTACGTGCCTCTGTGCTTGCTTAATCTCGCTTCCCAAAGCCTGTTAGCGTGCTGGTGGCATAAACCCATTTACGAGATCCAGGGATTCAGCTGTAGTTGTAGAAAGAGATGGCCTAGGTCTGGCAGGTCATCTCTGAGGAAGGCGGCAGCTGTTGCTGCCCAACCCCAGAAACCCCAGCCTGTGTTCTCTCTCCCAGTCCTGGGCATGGATCCAGGCAGAGCCTGAGCTCTTCCACTAGGACTCCTGCAGTTAACTCTTTAAGCAGTGGGTAGCACAGCCAGGATCTCAAATCAGGTTCTCCAGCCTGCGCTCTAAGGTAAAGCTCTGAGAGGAGAAGGACCCTCCACTTCCACCCACAGAGCCAGGGGTGGGGAATTAGGGAATGACATGAGCCTCACGTGACCTCCAAGCCCTCAACCCCTAGGAAGCCCTCACCTCTCACTGCACCCTGCCACTCCTCTTTGACATGACCTCTCCCCAAGCGCCTCCTCTAAGATCCCCAACTGCCACTTCACCAATAAAAGTGGTCCCTGATAGTCCTACCTGGTCTGGTGGGATTCCACCGCTTATGGCTACAGCTCCAAGTATAGGGTTAGACCCCTGACCCCAGCTTTGACTACCGAGTTCCTTCCTGGGGACCTTGAATAAGGGGGTGGCAAGTTCAGTTGTGCTGAGAAATCCCACTCGTCCTTGAGCTGGTCCTGTACTCCGTAAACTCTGAACCCCAAAGGCAGTCCTGTTCTGCCTACACTTACTTGGGAACACAAACCACTAGACTACAGAGAGAGAGAGGACAGAGGCTGGAACCACAGACAAAGAGGAGGGAGGAATGAAGAGTGAAGAAACAACCCCTCTCTAGGACTTTTCCCACTCTGTCCCTTGCCTTCCAGAGCTAGGCAATTTCTTTGGCATCCCACTGGTCTCCGGCCTGTTGCCACCCCCAGGCCCCTCTCCTGCTCTCAGGTTCTGTGAGACACTCTTTTATTTGTATAAGAATTCTTATTTTTAGCTCAAGCCCCTCAAGTTGGTCTCTTTTCCTTGCAACCAATAAGTATCATGTACACAGTGAGAGCTCCAAACTTTTGAGAGTGAAATGGGGCACTGATAATAATTACACAGGACTATAGGTATAAAGTGGGATAACCTGGGCAAACCAGGCAATGTGGTCACTCATCTGTGAGTTAAAAGAACAACACACAGATCACTTTTATCTCATTTTGTTCTTCAGATGATCCTGGAGGGCACATGAGGCAGGGACTGCCATTTTCTCTGAGACGAGTTATACAGCAGTAAGCTGGTCCAAGATGGGTGGTAGTCGGGGAGGGCTCAGGCCAGAGAGTGGACACATTTTCCTGCATGATTGACGTGGGGCCAGAAAGCTGATGCTAGCTGTGGGAGAAAGGTCAGGGTTGAGCTTTCCTTCCTTTCTTCTTGATGGATGAAAGAAGAAAGGCCCCTTCTTTGAAATATGGATTCCCCAAGGCCAACGGGCCTGGTGTTATTCCAAGAATGTGCTATTCTTGTGGGCGGGACAGTGGGCAGGGACCTGAGGGAAGGAGTCAATGGAAGTCCCAGCACGGTCCGAGAAGTAAGATGGATGGTGGGGCCTCAAGAGCTATAAGTGGCCAGGCCAGAGCCTTTGCATGTGTTTCCTGCCATGCTGCTCCTCGGGCTGCTGCTGCTGACCTTGCTGGCTGGTGCCCGCCTGTTGTGGGGCCAGTGGAAGCTCAGGAGCCTCCACCTCCCACCTCTTGTTCCTGGCTTCCTGCACCTGCGGCAGCCCAACCTCCCCATCTATCTGCTTGGCCTGGCTCAGAAACTTGGGCCCATCTACAGGCTCCGCCTTGGACTGCAAGGTGAGCACCTGCTCCTTGCTTGGCTCCACCACAGTGGGGAGGTGGGGTGCTCTCCCTGCTGACATCCTGCCTTGGTTCTCCCACAGATGTGGTGGTGCTGAACTCTAAGAGGACAATTGAGGAGGCCATGATCAGGAAGTGGGTGGACTTTGCTGGCAGACCCCAGTCACCATCCTGTAAGAGGTGGGGAGAAGCTGGGGTTGAGGGAGGCAGGGAAGATCAGGCCATGGCTCCCTTGGTCAGTTTGACCTCCAACCCCTACTCCTAGACAAGCTGGTGTCCCGGCACAACCAGGACCTCTCGCTTGGGGATTACTCCCTGCTCTGGAAGGCCCACAAGAGACTCACCCGCTCCGCCTTGCTACTGGGCATGCGTGGCTCCATGGAGCCCCTGGTGGAGCAGCTGGCCCAGGAGTTCTGTGAGGTGAGGCTAGACTCCCACCATCACCCCAGATCAGCTTCACCTCTCCCAGTAGCCCTGGCCTATTTAGTTCATGCTCTTTGTCTGCAGCGCATGAGAGCCCAGGCCGGTGCCCCTGTGGCCATCCAGAAGGAATTCTCCTTCCTCACCTGCAGCATCATCTGCTACCTCACCTTTGGAGACAAGGTCAAGGCTCTCTTGCCCTCATATAGGCTTGGGCCCACCCCTCAGCCCCTCCCTGACCCTCTCCTTATCCTGAACTTAATGGATTCCCTCCTTTGTCAGGAGGATACCTTAGTACATGCCTTTCACGATTGTGTCCAGGACTTGATGAAAACCTGGGACCACTGGTCCATCCAAATTTTGCACATCATTCCTTTTCTCAGGGTGAGGAGGTAGAGCCCAGATACTCCTGGCTCCTGGGAGCAGAGGCGGGGGTTGGGGGCAGGCTTCCTTCCCAGCGGCTACTCTCTCTTGCTCCTTGCCCCAGTTCTTCCCCAACCCAGGCCTCTGGAGGCTGAAGCAGGCCGTGGAGAACAGAGACCACATTGTAGAGAAGCAGCTGAGGCAGCACAAGGTGGGCACCATGCACGAACCAGGCCCCTCACCCCACAGCCAGTGATGCTACTGCCCCAGAGCCAGGCAATTTCTCTGGCATTTCACTAGTCTTGGGCCTGTTGCCACCCCCAGGCCCCACTCCCTGCCCCAGGCACTCAGTCTGGTGCCCCTCCTCTCCCCAGGACAGCATGGTGGCAGGCCAGTGGAGGGACATGATGGACTACATGCTCCAGGGCTTGGGGAAGCCGAGAGAGGAAGAGGGCCCTGGACATCTCCTTGAAGGACATGTGCACATGTCTGTGGTGGACCTTTTTATCGGTGGCACTGAGACTACTTCAACCACCCTCTCCTGGGCTGTGGTGTTCTTGCTTCACCACCCTGAGGTGTGAGCCCTGGGGGCAGCCTGTCACTCCACCCTGAGGCAGGCTGTGTTCCCCCAGGGATGGAGGTGGGGCTTCTCCCAATCCGCACAAAAGCTCCTGTGGGTTGCTCCAGGGAGTGGCTGGAGGCTCGGCTGCTGTGGGTTGGCTAGCAGCTAGTGGCAAGTCCCCCAACTTCAAGCTTATTCCCACTTCCCAGTTTCAGCAGCGACTACAAGAGGAGTTGGATCGTGAGCTGGGCCCCAGAGCCCGGGGCTCCCGAGTCCCATACAAGGACCGCTCACGGCTGCCCTTGCTCAACGCCACCATTGCGGAGGTGCTGCGCCTGCGGCCAGTCGTGCCCTTGGCCCTGCCGCACCGCACCACTCGGCCTAGCAGGTGACTCCCAGGAGGTATGGGTGAGTGGGACGGTAAGCTGGCTCCTGGCGGGCCTCTAATCCTACTCTGCCCTCAGCATCTTCGGCTATGACATCCCCGAGGGCACTGTCGTCATCCCGAACCTCCAAGGTGCCCACCTGGACGAGACAGTCTGGGAGCGGCCACACGAGTTCTGGCCTGGTGCGTGGTGGGGCTGGGTGCCTGTGAGTGGGAGCAGCACAGGCTGTGTCCCGGCCACTGCTGACCCTGGGCCTGTCCCTCTCCTGCAGATCGCTTTCTGGCCCCTGGCGCAAGCCCCAGTGCACTGGCCTTTGGCTGCGGGGCACGTGTGTGCCTGGGCGAGCCGCTGGCACGCCTGGAGCTCTTCGTGGTGCTGGCGCGTCTGCTGCAGGCCTTCACGCTGCTGCCGCCAGTGGGCGCCCTGCCCTCCCTGCAGCCCCACCCCCACTGCGGTGTCAACCTCACTGTGCCGCCTTTCCAGGTGCGGCTGCAGCCCCGGGGGGCAGCGCCCCCAGGCTTGGGCGAGTGCCAGTGACAGGCAAAAATGCATGCCTGTCTTGTGCCTCAGTTTCTCCTTTTATTGCTCCTATACAAACCCCTTCCCTCCCCCCTGTAAACATAGTGCTGTGAGATCACGGGGTGGAGAAGGCTTCCTCTGGTGGCTGGGTGGTGAAGGTGGCCCCTGGCCCTTCTCTCCTCGCGGCCCCTCAGTGCTCGGCAGTCATACTTGGGCAGGAGAGGTGAGCCTAGGCTCAGTGTCCCCAGGTGGGGGCCCGGTAGCTTCTGGGTCTCAGCTTCATTTCCGTGAAGGGCACGGAGAACTCGAAACCCTTCCAGTGGTACCAGCTCACTCCCTGGGAAGGAAGTTGTAGAGAGAAAGTCAAAGCGGGTAGCCCCGCTGCTCCTACCCCTGGCCCTTTGGGGAGATGGTTCTCACAAATCAATCAACCTTCTTCCTTCCCTGCTGCCTTCGTAACCCTCAGTTGCAAAGGATTGAGGCTTACTCCTGAGCTGGCTCTTTCCATTCAATAAATCACCTCCTCCTCAAGACACCTTGGTGAGATGGCATTATTGTCCCATTTCACAGATGAAAGCTCTGAGGCACCAAGCAGCTCAGTAATTTGTTCTGTCATGCCGTATGTCACAGCAGGCAGGCCAAGCCCTGACCACCCCCAGCTCTGTGCTGCCTCCAGGCCCCTCACCTGGTGGTCCACTGTGCTCCCATAGAGCCCATTGAGGTTGGCGTAGTGGCAGTTCCTGTACCACCAGGCCCCTCGGTAGGAGACGGCGCAGGAGATGAGCAAATTGTTGGGGTCTCGATCGCGGGCAGAGAAGACACTGCCGCTGTGGTAGCTCATGGAGTCCCCTGGCAGGAGCAGAATAAGTGAGAGCCTCTCCTCCCTCACCCCTCGAACCCCCAGGCCCAGCCCTCACCTGCGGTGCCATGGTAGCCCTCCAGGTGGAGGCGGTAGTAGTCAGCGGCCGAGTCTACCCTGAAAGAGTCATACTGGGCAAACACCGCCTCATCCCCAGCCCGCAGGTCCACACGCATGGAGTAGTCGCCGGTTTTTGTCAGGCTGTGCAGGGCCTCGTTGCCTGGGGGTGGGAAGTGTGTTCTCATCAGGGTCTGGTGTCCAGAGGGCCCCTATGCCTTCCCTGGTCCCCCACTCCCTGAGGCACTGACCCAGCCAGAACTCCCCGGAGATGTTCCCAAAACCGTGAGCATAGTCCTCCCAGTCCCTCCAGAAGTCCGTGTGTCCATCCATGCGGCGCTGGAACACCTGGGAAACAGGTGGGGCACCATCAGCCTATGGCTCCTGGAGTACCAGCCCCGGCCCTGTGCAGATGCCCGGCTTCTGGCTGCCACCCACCAGCCAGCCACCCCCATCCGTCTCCATGTCACAAAACACGTTCAAGGGCCGCTCGCGGTTGCCATTGAGGAAGATGGTGGTGGTCCGCGAACGGCCAGCCCCGTTCTGCATCTCCTCTCCACAGTCCCGGGGGAAGGGTATCCGCAGTCCACCTGGGGAGAGGAGAGTGAGGGGCCAGTCTTTCTTCCACACCCTAAATCCCTGTTGCCCACTCAACCCCCGACCTCAGGTCCCAGCACCCAAGTACCAGTGGTGAAGAAGGTGGACATGGGTGGTGTGAAGCTCTCACCCCACATGGCCCGGAGCCATGCTCTGTAGGTGGTGGAGGGAAA